GTGAGCATGTTATATAAAATGCAATGAGACAGGGTACAAGACTGATTAATCTAGAGAAATTCCATATTTTGACTTTCATTCCCACAGTCTTAGCTACAAAATTTTTTGTACTGCTCCTCTCCCATTAGCCTCATTAAGTAATCAGTGAGCTTTAGATGTTAATGCAATATATAGACTATGCAGATATATGTATCCATGATAGGATTTATGCAAGTTTGGTGTAATCTTATACTCTGAATATGTGAAAGTAAAGTGGCAGCAAACAAAGTTAGACTTTTTTCAGTGTCTTAAGTTCCAAATTAGTGCAGTTTTTTTTTTGATCATGCACTTGCCTATTTCAGGGCATGTTCAGTTTTGACACTATCTCTGAACCATAGGTACAATTGATTGCTGAAGGAATAAAGACTAGGACTTGAAAACTTCCTGAAGCCTTCAGAAAGACTGAATGTAATGTATGATATAAAAAATAGAACCAAGCCTTTATTTTATAAGAATTTAGTTATTATAAGCAACAGACCCAATTTCACCTAGTTTTATTCTCCATTGATGGAGCCAAAGATTTCTCTAATTTTCCTTACAATTTCAATTTTTGTGCCTTCTCACAAGCCTGTGAAGCTGAGAAACCAGTCAGGTGTTTGAATGCAAGGGTTAAACCAAGACAAGTATGACACAATGCATGCCATACAGATTTCCTGAACCAGGATATAGGAGATCCCTCACAGATATGAAGGCTGAAGATGTTTCCTTTACACAGCAGTGAAAAGCAGCATGACCTACTTCTCCCATTGGGATGAATTGCCAGGAAGGATGCAGATGGTATTTCTGTACCTTTGATGGGGCATCCTGTCCCCTTGGTAGGGTCTGTGGATGAACAGAAGGTGCAGCCTCAGTGTGCCATGCTGTAGCTGTCTCTGGCTGAGAAGCAACCGCCAAAGAGGAGGAGGAGGAAAAAGGAGGGAGACATGACAGTCAGACCACCATGATTTTAACATGTATGCTAAACTGCCTCTTTTAACAAATTATTTGGTGCTGTTATTTCTATTCTACTAAGTTGTATGAACTTAAAATATTTAGGTTTTAGCTTTGCTGTTTCACCCAAATATTATTCCTATCTAACATAAAGGTTTCTTCTTTTTGAAATATGATGATTTGGTGCTGTGCAATTCTGCTATGCAGTTGTGGTAGGCTGACCTTGGCTGGACGCCAGGTGCCCACCCAACTGCTCTATCACTCCCATTTCCAGCTGGACAGGGTAGAGAGTAAGGTGGAAAAACCACTTGTGGGTTGGGATAAGGCAGTTTATTTAAAGCAAAAAGTAAAGTGGAAGCTTGTGCGTGCAAAAAGTGAAGCAAAAGATAGTAGGGTTTATTCTCTACTTCCCATTAGCAGTGATGGTCGGCCAACTTCCGAGAAGCAGGGCTTCAGTACACATGATGGTTCCTCAGCAGGCAGCCATTGGAGATAATGAATGTCTGCCTTCCTGCTCCTTGCCTTAGCTCTTATATCTGAGCTGACATCATATGGTCTGGAATATCCTTTGGTTAGTTTGGGTCAGCTGGCCTACTTGAGTCCCCTCCCAGGATCTTGCCCTCAACTAAGGAAGGAATGTTACAGTGCTGGTGCTGTGTTCAGCAGTAGCCAAAACACTGGTGTGTTACCAACACCCTTCTAGCTACCAGTGCAAAGCACAGCACTGTGAGGGCTACTGTGGGAAAATGAACTTCAGCTTAGCCAAACCCAATACAGCAGTACATCTGGAAAGCTTTTCCATTTCCAAGTAAATAAGAAAAGAGAACACTCGTAAAGTATTCATTGTTTATTTTTGAATTACTGCTTGGCACACTTAGTCAACATATTAGAAACTGGTGAGTTAAAAGTCCCAAACTTTCCCTTTTTTTTTTTTTTTTTTTAATGGACAGAGAAAATGGGCTCCGGTCTGGTGTATAATTAGTCGTGTCCAGCACATCTTCTTGGGCAGGGAGATAAACTGTAGCCTCTGCCAGCTGGGACAGTGCCAGTACCATGAACTAGCACAGCATGCTCCAGAAGCTTCTCCTTCTGCCCCAGCATAAATCAGCATATTCCCAAGAGGGCAGAGGAGGTGAGTAAGCAAGTGGTAAAAGCACAGCAATTTTGAGCCACGCAGGCATTCTCCTGGAAAAAGATCCTCTCCAACCTGCTTCTGAAATCTGTTATTAAACTATTCTCTACTGAAAGCCAGGAGGTCATGCTTCGGTCATACCTTTAGGGTGTTACGTAAAGGGATTCTCTTCTTAACTTAGGAAAAGAGACCTATATGACAAACTGAAACTCTGCTTGGAAGAGAAATTCTTCCTCTCCTTTCTCTTCCTCTACTTCTGAGTCTGGTGTTCTTTCATCTCTTGCACAACTGCATACAACTAAATGCAGTTGTAGACTGAACAAAAAAATATGACTCTACATAAGCACGTGATAATGGGGATTAGAAAACAAGGTATTCATAGCTTTAAATCAAGTCAAAATGCTTTTAGATACTGAAGACAAAAAAGTAATGAAAAAGTCATAGGTATGCTCTATCAGGGTGCAGTAGGTTGCCAGTGCTCTGCATGACAAGAAATCTATGGAGGAGGAATGAAAAAGAAATGAAGAAAATAAAAGAAGGTGGAAAAGAGAGAGGGGCAAAGCTAGAGGGTGATGCTAACAGGATAAGAGTTCTCGTACAAAGCCAGATCAAGGACTTTTTAGCTTACTGGTAGGTATCTGACTGTGGTCAATAGTGGATGCTGGAAGAGAACACAAAACCACATACTAATATCTCTCCCAGACAATCTCCCAGATCAAAGAAATAGTCAGTGGAGAGGTGTTTCTTGAGCACGTTTGCCCTTTGTTGTGTCCAGCTGATTTTTCTTCAATCATTTTTTAAACCCACATAGACCCTTATATTCACAACACCGTGTGTCAGGGAGTTGAATAGCTTAACCACAAGGACTGTTCTCTAGTTTTTTGGAATCCATCACCTGCTTGTTTCTTTCATTGACATTTGCATCTTTGCACTACTTGTGTGGGAAGAGACTGTGAGTGACAGTGAACATTTTACCGCTGTATATCTTCCTTACAAAAGATTGTAGGGACCTACATCATATTTCTCCTCTGTCACCCCATTTCAGTCTGAAGACTCCTACCATACCTAGCCGTTCCTCAAGCACACACACTTCACACCCTGGCCACCCTTCTCTGTACCTAACTCTCTTCCACCATGCCTGGTTTGAGATGGGGGACCAAAACTGCTCTTGGTAATCAAAATCTCTCTACCATGGAATTGTACTGGACCAATAATTATATTTTGTGATTTGTTCTCTACTTCTCCCTAATTTGAATATTTTATTTCTGTTGTTTTGTCTGACACTTGAGCCAGTGTATTTATACAACTGTTTAGCATCATGGCAGTTCTTCACTTCTGAATGACAATAGTCAGCTGAAAGCATCCTGTTTCCTATGTGAAGTTAAGATCTTTCTGTGCATTATTTCAATTCACAGGTTTTAGAGACTCTACAACAAAATCTGTTCATAAAGGGAATTTTTACTATATTAACTTTATGTATAGATCTCTTCATACTGTACTTATTCAAGGGTAGGTATAATTATTGTATCTTTTATATCATGACCTGCTAGTGACAGAAAATGCCCACAGAGATCTAGCAGAGAATTTCCTAATGGAAATACAGCTTATATTAGAAAAAGAGTGCTTTAGCTTGGGTAGATTATACTCATTTCGCCCAGAAGAGTAAATTATATGAGTAGAATATTTTTGTGCCCATGTCAATTTTTATAATTGCGTCAGCACTGAAGTTTAGTCAGAATGGAAATTTTGAGAATAAAATCAACAGTCCCAAATGACATTGAGAGATGGGCAATGTTTTCTTCCATAAGACTGATCTTTGCCATCAGACATATGGCCTGAAAATGTGGGTGAAGATAATCTGATGACCTGATTTTCATTTGGACACTACTATGAGAAAATAAGAATCTGTATCTTTGCAAAATAATGATAAAACCTATTATAGGTGGTATGTCATCACATCCCATATTTTTTTTCTGTGGAAAGTTCATCCAGAGATCTCATCCACCAAGTGAGCAGAAAGGATGCTAATTGCTGTCCAGTGCTTAAATGGACTGTTGTGTTTGTCTTTCTGGAAGATACTGTGTAGATGAAATGTTATGGTTTTGTCATGACCTGTTTGCTTCTATTCCATATATTCACTGAGACCAGGAGCTTAGATGTTCTAGCAGAATCTAACCAGTGCTTTCACAGGAAAGTTTTTCAACTCCAACTCCAGAAATATTTTTTATTTTCATCCCTCATGTTTCCAACCAGTTATTCTGTTTAATTGGTATGATTGCAGTTGTTATTTATGAGTTTCAAAGGCTTAAAAATCATTAAATATTATGAATTCAAAAAGTAGCTTTTCATCATCCTAATGATTTTCTTCTTCAGCATAAATGTTCCATTTCCTATTTTCTGATTGCCCTCAACTCATCACATCTATATATATCTCCTGTTCACACAGTCCCTGGGCTCAAGGTTGAAGGACATGCACCTGCATGGGGGGAAGACCTTTGAGCAGGACGTTGAGTCCTGCTTGGCATATCAGAAGAGGTGGAGAGGACTGTGGGGGAGGGGAAGCTGGAAAGGGGGCAGCTGGTCTCTCCCGAGCTTGCCCTCCCCCAAGGACCGCACAAGACCATCAGAGATAAGCATATATGTACATACAATAAATAAACCCATGCATATATACGTATATTTTATACGTGTATTTGTGTGCGTGTATGCACACACATTTATGTATATACATATGTACGGCGTACATTTAGTTTGTATATAGACATATGCATGTACGTATATGCTGGTATACCTATAGGCACGAAATCCTCGGTTAATTATCCTTCGGGAGGAGTTTCCAGCCCGGAAACCCAGTCTCCTCCCGGCTGGAGCGAAGTGCCCTCCGCCTCTCCCGCCTCGAACGCGCTGAGGCAGAGGCAGAGCCCAGGAGCTCCCCCGGACTTGCCAGCTGCTGCAGGAGGAGTGAGAAGGACCCCACCTCGAGTACTGCTCCCCCCGAGACTATTCTTGCCCGATGTTCACACAGATACGCAGACACAGGTGGGTCCGGGACACTCCCACGCACAGCCATCAGATGGCAAGGGACCCTCCTCGGAGGGTAGGGAGGGAAGGGGAAGGAAAGCAAGCCTTTTCTCTGCTTCTATTTGTTTGTAACTGGGAAAGACTTCAATCGTAAAATCTTAAGAGCCCTCTGAGGTGCTTCAGAGCAAAGGTAAATTCACCTCATGACAGAACAGAAAGGTAATACAGAATGGCCACCTCTGGGGTTTGCCCGCGACACGAGTAAAGTGTCAGTGGCCCGTTAGTTCCCTGTGTTCAGGCGGATAAATAACCCCGGAGATAAATGATCTCCACCAACTCTGAGAGGGGGCTGCCTTTGTCTCTACCCCTCCCGGCAGAAGCGGGCTCTTGCCGGAGGGGCGCAGAAGAGGGCGGCGAACAAAGGAAAGAAAGCCCTGTCACCGTCCTGCTGTCGGTACAGAAGACGCAAGGCATCCCTGCTCGGCCCGAGCAGGCTCCCCTGAAGGGGACACTAAATAATTGATCAGAATCGATTGCCTGCATGCATTGGAAAGGGAAAGAGGGCGCATCCCTTGCGTGCAACCAGCTCCTTCCCCCATTTGCGCTGTAATCCTATTCCACCATGTGCGGATAGATGAGGGGACGTTAACTCAGCCTTCAGGCCTGGGCGGGGTTCTCGCCGTTTAATCTCTTCCTTTCTCTTCTCTTCGCTGCTTTCCTCCCTGCCCTCCCCCTTTCCGTCTCCCAGGCCCAGTGAGGTCAGCTCATTTTCCTGAGAGGCTCTGGCAGCGGCGCGTACCTCGTGTGCGGTGCCCAGCTCTCCGTGCATGCATTTCGCCAGCCGGGCAGCAAACGAAGTGGTGGTGAGTAATGCGGATGCTTTAGATCCAAGCCTTTTTTTCTCCCTCTTTTTTTTTTTTTCCCCCGCTCCAAAAAGGGAATGTTACTCGGGATCCAGATGCAACAAACCCAGGTATGAGGGGGGACCCTCGAAAATCCCCCCGAGCCTCTAAACCGGGACAAAAGGCAGAAGCGCTCCCAAAACTCAAGCTGGGTTTGCAAATTCTCGGAGAGGCAGAGGCGGGCCCCCGGCGGGGCGAAAGGGCCGGAGCCGGGGGGGTTACCCTGCCCGAAGCCCCGGGCAGGAGAGAGCCCCGCTCCGGCGCGTAGAGCCACCGGACTGCTCCCTTTTGTTGCTGCCATTTATTTACCCGTTTTTCCGCCTGGACAAGAAAACCTGCGGAGACGCCGCGGGCCGGCTCCACGTGGGTTTGCCTCTGGGGAGAAGGTTGTGCCGCGGAGTTTTGTGAGGACGGAGATTTCGGACTTGAGCTCAAATGGGCTTTCGTTGTGCCAGTTAAAAAAAAAATGTATATGTTTATATTTATCTAAAATCAGCCAACTTAACCGTAGGCGGTAGCCGATCCTGGAATTCGGGGCATGCAGGGTGCTGGCTGTGTTCTGGCAGGTCGCGGCTGATGACTTAGTTGCAGTGAAAGTTCCCGAAAAGATTCAGACATAGCATAGGGTTCCCGATTATTAATTTTAATTTAATTTTATACATTTCATACCTATATAGCTCCAAACAACTGTAGTGTGGGAATTCTGTTTGTGTTGGTTAAATAGAAATGCAAAGCAAATCTTTTATAAAGTGTTGTGATACAAGTTTTGGTAGGTAGGTCTACACTCCCATGCGCCTTTTTTACTAATTAATGCCTGGGAAGTTTCTGCCTAATTGTGTCATTCTGAGAATTAATTTCCAGATATATATCAGGTTGATAATGACAGTGCATTTGAGAGGAAATGCTGTGCTCCTGCCAGTGAGAGCAGAGCAAACAGAGCCTCATTGTCTAGTATGTTCCAGGGAGTAAACCAATTGTCAGGGTACGGTATAGTGTCTACATTGACTTTGCCCAGTTGTGCTTCTTTCTTTATTCCCTGTTTTAGCAGGGAACGTTTAAGCCATGTTCTGGGAGGGAAGTGGTTGGCCGTGTTAGGAATGCTGTCATTTTTGCTGTTGCCCACGTTTTCCCTTTAAGGACAGTTGAATAAAGGCTGTGTGAAAGCAGTTTATGGATCATAGCCATTTTTTTAAGAATATATTGAGTGACATTAACAGCATGATATGGCTTTTAACAGCCCTTTTTCATAATATGTTGCAGCCATCAAAACTCTGGTTGTTTCACTGTATGGGAAAATTGCCAAGTGAGCACCCTTCAGAGAATACCACATGACATTTTGTTCTGGATAAAGCTGTATTCCTTGCTTTGGTTTGAAAATCTGCTGAGTGATTATACCTCAGTCCTGTGTAACCTACTGATATGCATAACCAATAATAAACATGAAACAGTGCATCTGGGTAACAGACTGGGACAAATTTGTGTTTAGAAGCTGATTGAAGAACCACTTTCCTTTATGACCCTCGACTGCCAAGTCACCTTGCCCTGGAAGAGTCCTTGTCAATGCTGAAGGAAAATCTGTACTTGCTTTCATGTGTGCAGCCCTTTGTAGAGCAGCCTGTCCTCACTTGGCTATGACAGACACCCGGGAGAAGCCTTTGACCAGGCAGACAGGTGCATTAGCAACGCAGGCTTGGTGTTGAGGACGAGGGAGAGAGAAGTTTGTGTGTGAAAGGAAATTCATCCTTAACGTGGTGGCCCTTCGGGGGAAGGTTCGGCATGGGGGTTGGGGAAACGCCCCGAGGTGCAGGCGGAGTGGGAACAGGTCTCAGCCTCAGCCGAGCCCTATGCACCCCTTCCGAGAGCCGCTCCCTTTGGCGCTGGGCTGCAGCCTCGGCTGGCGCTTCCCCGGCCGCCGCTCGGCCCGCAGGTGGGCGCGGGGCAGGGCTGGGGGACGGCAGGGACCGGGCTCGCTGGCCGCCGCCGTTGCCAGGGAGCCCGTCTCCTTGTCCTCCCCGTCCCCACCCCGACCGCCTTCTCCGGTTCTCCTCCCCCAGCTGTCGGGGCGGCGGCGGAGGAGGAGGCGGAGGACAGCACGGATGATGGACGCGTCCCCGAGATAGCCGCCGCCATGAGCCAGCCGCCTGCAGGGGGCGCCGCCGCCGAGCCGCGCCTGCATCCCGAGGGCAGCAGCGGCAGGAAGCAGCCGCGAGCATCCTCGCCGGCCCGGGCCCGCGACACCGCCCCGCGCCCGCCGTCGGCCGCCGCCGCCTCCCGTGCCCCGCCCGCCGCCGCGGCCCCCCCCGCCAAAACCGCCTCTCCGCGGCCGCTACAGGGCCAGGCCCCCCGAGCCGCCCGCGGTCGTGCCGCCGACAGACCGCCGCGGGGAGCTGTCCAGCCCGGCGCCGGTGCTGAACCCCCTCCCGCCGCCGCCGCCGGGAGAGGAGCCGCCGCCGAGGAGCCGCTGCCTCCGCCCGGCGCCGCCGAGGAGGCGCCCCCTGCAGGGGCCGGCGGGGGCGAGCGGGAGGGGGCGGCGGCGCCGCCGCCCAAGCAGTGGCGGGGGAAAGCGGGGCGGTCCCCGCTGAAGGGCGCGGGGGAGGCGGCCCCGGCGCCTCCATCTTCCTCGGGTGCGGGGAAGGGCCGCGGTGCGGCGGCGGGCGGCGGCGGGTACTGGAAGGAGGGATGCCTGCAAAGTGAGCTCATCCAGTTCCACCTCAGGAAAGGGCTGGCGGCGGCCGCCCAGATGCAAACCAAGGTCAGCAATCACAGCAGCAGCAGCGGCAGTGCTTCCTCCGCCGCCTCCGCGGCCGCCGCCCCAGCCGAGCCTCCCCCGGCCGCCTCCGCCTCCTCGCCCGCTGCCATGGCGGCGGCCGGGGCGGAGGGGCTGCGACAGGGTGAGGCGGGAGGCGACGGCAGGAGCGGCGGCCCCGAAGGCGCCCTGAGCCCGCAGCTGCAGGAGGAGATGCAGGAAGAGATGGAGAAGCTGCGGGAGGAGAACGAGAGCCTCAAGGTGAGTGGCCGGGGCGGTGGCGGGGGTGGGGGAGAACCGGGGCCGGGCGGGGGTCAGGCCACCTCCCCACCCCCGCGCCGGGAGGGGCTTTCCCGGCCGCCTTCTCCCCCGGCAGGAACGCTGGAGGCAGCGTTAAGATGGCTCTGTTGTGGGGGATGTGGGCACTGTCGCTTCCCTGCTTCGTTGCGGTGCTTTTAATGAGCTCGGTTGTATTTACCTGCGGTCCCTGCGGGGCGGAGCTCTGTGTTGGCTTCCTTCTCTTGTACGTGCTGACATTTGTGCTTTTGACCCACCTGTTGCGTCCCCGTCCCTTTCTCGCCCTGGTACCAGAATGAGATAGATGAGCTGAGAACAGAGATGGACGAGATGAGGGACAGTTTCTTTGAGGAGGATGCTTGTCAGCTTCAAGAAATGCGCCACGAACTGGAGCGAGCCAACAAGAACTGCCGGATCCTTCAGTACCGGCTGCGCAAGGCTGAGCGCAAGAGGCTTCGCTATGCCCAGACCGGCGAGATTGACAACGAGCTCATACGCAGCATGGAGCAGGACCTCAAGGTACAGACGTGAGCAGGTGTCGAAGGGAGGGAGCGCCTCAGACGGAGACAAAACTGTGCTCTCAGTCCTCATGAGTCAGGCATTTCCATCCATTTCACTGTGCACACAGTGCACCTCATAGAATAGCAATGGCCGAGCTATCCTTGGTAATAGAAGCCCTTCCAGTATGGAGATAGGCTATTTTCAGCTTTAGTCCAACCGTTTTTTGTGAAGATAATGTGCAAGAAATTATTCTAATGCAATTTAGGAACTAAAAGTTTTGGACTCTTTATGCTGAACGCAAAACATACCTTTCCACTGCGAAATGAAACCAAACTCACTGAATAGCTCCGTTGACTTTGAGGGGATTTTGTTACTCTTTAGTAAAAGATTTCAAGGGATTGAATACTTGCAGAGTCACAACATGAAACATTGACACTGTTGCTGTCAGTAAAAAACTGCTGTTACGTTCAGCAAATCCAGGATTTTCCACATCCACCTGAAACCTTAGACAAAACCCATCAGATTTCAATGTGTAATCAACTGCATTTCATCCATAAAGTCTGAATGAACCACAACCCATTGTTGAGGATAAGTTTCAGTCCTTGTTTAAAGATTGTCATTGGTAAAATAGCCATCATCTCCAGTCTAAATTGGTCCAATTACAGGGGAAAAAAAAGCTTTCTTGAGGTAGTTGCAAGTTTAATTTCTGCTTCCATCCACTAGACTTTGAAAGGCGCCTGCTAAACCAGGACTTGTAAATTTTTTCAGTTGACTGGTCTCCCACCTTTTCTCATGGAAGTGTAGACCTCTGTATAGCAAATGCGAGCTTACTGGCTGCACTTCTGCCCAGGATTCTAGTTACCTGTGGTGCATTGGATTCTGTGAACTGCAGTTGATAATGCAAATTTAATACATGATTTGGAGTAAGGTAAATTTTAAACTTCTTTCTGATTGGTATAGCGGATTTAGAGTATGTTATTCCCAGGCCTGGTTTGGATCATCTTTTCTGAAAGTTTTCCATCTTGTCATCATTCTTATTAAAATTTCTATTTGATATTCCTTTTCTGTGCATAATCAAACACCATGTTTTCTGTTGTGGCTGTGACAGTTCTAAAAATACGACTGCCCACATTGCTCTTAACAAAATAGTGTTCCTGACCAGAAGTGAAAACATGCCTTTGTCATGGGGATTTCTGTTCAAAACAAGGGATGTTTTGCACACTCAGAAAGATGCTTAGGTGCTTAGTTGAGATATGCACCTTTGCAGGCAGAATTTGAATGTGAGCCTTTGTGTTCCGAGTGAATATTGTGATTCCAGCTTATAGAGTTGGCTTCTTTGTTGGCTCAATGTTACTTTGTATTAGCAAGTCATACACATGCAGGCGAGCCAGGGAAGTGGTGAGAATACCTCTGCTGAGGTTCTTGCCTGCCAATATAGGAGATAGCAGCTAAGGCCTTAGGTTGAGCTGGATAAAGGGCTCACTTTAATTAGCATTTTTCCCATGTTTTTATATAACTATATGACTGACTCTTTGGGAAGGAATAGTGTTTTTGCAGAGTGTTCCCAAGGATCCTGAATGTGTTCTGCTTTGGAGTAGGGATGAATGCCAGATTGTTGCCTAATAGAATTCTATGTGCTGGCTAACCATAATAACAATTCCTGTGTAGGTATCTGTAGCGTTCCCAACTCCTCTTCTGAAGAATGACTATCCAAAATAACATTCTTCTTTTTGCATGGACAATATATTAGAGAACTTGATCCTTCATAGATATAGTCTTGCATGTAGCTGTATTAAAATGTATCTTGCATAAGTGAGTCCCATTTCCCATGTAGCCTAGGATGGTCTGTAGGATTTCCCTGCATTAATAGCTACTCCATCACATTTTGTGTCAAAACATTTGCTACCAGTAATGATATTTTAATTCAATTTTATTTACCTATCCAGGCTGTATCTATGGACTGAAGACAGATTCTGATAGGATGCTGTTTAAAATATCCCCCATGATTTTCCGTTTACTTTGATTGGACAACCAGATGAGCAGTTTAACACTAAGTGTAGGAAAAGACATCAATCTAAAGCCCTGGGGTGTGATTCTCAGCTCATTCTGTAGTCTCTTTGGAGTATGGCTATAATTGAAGTTCCCCTCCACTCATGCTCTCTGTTGGGCATTATGTGTCTTGAGTGCATGTGCAGTGGGGGAGGTTGGTGTTGTATCTGTAATTCACACACACTGGGTTTCTTGTCAGGGGAGGCTGAGTCACTAACTGCTACTGTTTTCTGGTTGGATTCTTCTAGGTTGATTCTTCTAGACTGCTTGCTTACAATTATTATTTTTCTTTAGTGTTTTAGCATGTCAAAGAAGTCTCTGACATACTAACACAAAGATCATTCTAGTCAAAGCCATGAAGGATAGCTCACTGAGCTCCCCTAGCTAATGCTAAGTAGGATTAATTATGCTTTCCCATGTTCTAAAAAAAGCAGAAAATTAGACTTTTCAAATCATGTGTCTATGTGTCTAAATCACCACCATAACAGTGATTAGTGTATATTTAAATATTTTTGGTGTGTGATTATAGTTTCTGGTGGTTCTACAAAATGCAGTGCAAGTGCCTTGGAGG